TCGTCTATATGTTGCACTCAGAACTATAAAACTGGAAGAGCTAATGCTCTCGAGCACTTGTCCCTCGTCCTGTGAGAAGCTTCAATGGCGCCATTAGCAAATTATTTACAACATGTGCATCATGTTTTTGGCCTGGGATTGGTATTTGTACTGGGACTGGGACTGGTCGTGGAACTGGGGCCCCAACCGTGGCTGGGGCAGACGCCGTGCATCGTCGCTGGCGCTGTCAGCGGGGCAGTGACAAGAGCAGGCAACGATGCACAGTGTCAAGAGCCAAGTGGTAAATAAAGTGAAATTACCTGAACTCGATTTAAAAGCGATCTTAAATGGGAGTTGCCAAAATGATGACAAGGTTGATCGGCATGAGAAGGTAGATAGATAGAAGATGAAAATAGTGGAATTTAAATTCCATTGACGGTGCTCAGAGGTTTCTAACGAGCTCAATGCTAATCGGATAAGTCAGATCTTGCTATCTGTCATCGAAAAGGTAATTTAAGTTCAGTTGAGCTGAAACTTTTTATGTAAACCTTGAGATAAACAAGTGAGAAAGCGCTAGTCAAACACAAAAAAAAAAAAAAGGAGATATTTTCCAGGCGAGGAAAAGTACTTCAATAGACCCACTGACTCGAATAAAAATATACTAAAAGTTATTAAAGAAAGTAATTAAAAATAAATAAAATACGGAAACTCGAATTTAATTAAAAATAAATACATAATAAAAGAGAAATGTAAAACGATATTAAAAACCGCATAATATTTTTAGTGAGCAGTCTATAAAATAATATATAGAGTATATCGAATAACTGAAAGGGTGGACTTTATCACACATCACATTAAGTCACCGCATAATAAATGAAATGAAAAATAAACAAATGAGAAATAAAATAAATCAAATGAAAATATTCTGCAGTATATAGCAAATGTTAACTAGATTAAATTGTCACTAAAGCAAGCAGAATATATTGTAAAAAAAATTATCCATGTTATCCATGTTTGCTGCACCGCATACCACTGTGCGGTTGTTAGTGGGTGGGGAATGGGCGTCAGGCATGGGAATGCAGGCAGGAACAAGCGCTCGAGTATTCATTGAGAGCAGCTGTTCGATGAGGGCCGCCAGCAGTGGGCAGGAGGGTAAGGAGGGGGGGGGGGAGGGGGGGGAGGGGGGGGAGGGGGGAACTGTGCTATGCTTGTATGTGTTTATACTGCTCTGGTTGCTGGCTGCTTGTTGCTTTTATACGTTTGATTTCCAGTGCTAAATGCCAAACAAACTGTCACGGGGAGACAAGCTGAGTGCCTGCTCATACCCATGCAGCCATTTAGCGGCGCACAGCAAGAGAGAGAGAGAGAGAGAGATGGAGAGAGAGGGAGAGTGCGACAATGAGGCATCCCACGATGCGACAAGTGAAATAATAATTTCAACATCGAATTGAATTTTGAGTGCCAGAACTGACTGCATGCCAATGCGTGCCGAATAAACTGATGGGCGGCATCGGTTGACAAGGACATTGGACCCTGCGACGTGGCACAGGCGAGAGGACCCGTCCCAGGCCAGCAGCAGGACCCTCTTCATATCCCTATGGCTCTGCATTGACAAGAGCATGTGCCAAATGAATGCAGCTCAAATGGCAGCGCAATGTGACATTGCGACAGGCACGAAGCCTGGCTCTGGCCTCTTCTGGGCTCTGGGCTCGATTCTGGGGCCACTGCATTGCATTGGCTGCATTTCAGTTTTATAAACGTTTTGCCGCCGTCTTGCTGCGACTGTTTTGGCGAAGCATAACGCAAATAGAAATTGACATAAAAACGAGTGAGAAAGAGAAAGGGAGGCGAATTCGCATTCCCGAAGATGGAAGTACTGCCAATGGGCGCAACGTCAACCAAAGTAATCAAATGTTGGCCACATTTCCGCACATTTTTCCTTGGCTCACTTTGGGCACAATATGTTCAAAATTTGAATGAATTCCCAAAACAATGAATAGAATTTGTACTTAAACATGGAGTTGTAAATGAGTCACTGCCTGTCTGTCCTTCATTCAGTCAGGCAGTTAAGCAACGATCAATCAATCAGGCAGAGTGTCTATCAGTCATTCATCCCATTAGTCAATTAGTCAGTCAGTCAATCATTTTATTAGCCAGTGAGTATGTCAATCAATCAATCAGACAAGCAGTCCGTCAACCCCTCAGTCAATCAGCCAATGAATCAGTCAATCTGTTATCCAATCAATCAGTCAATCTGTGAAACAACCAGTTTGTCAGTCAGTCGATCAATCAGCCAATCAGTTAGTCAATCTGTGAGTTAATCAGTCAGTCAATCAATCATCCAGTGTATCAGTCAGTCAATCAGTCGGTCAACCTGTGAGTCAATCAGTCTGGCAGTCAGTCAATCAGTTAGTCAATCTGTGGATCTGTGAGTCAGTCAATCAGTCAATCCGTCAGCCTATTAACCTATCAGTCAATCATTCAATCTGTCAGTCAATCATTTTATTAGCCAGTGAGTATGTCAATTAATCAATCAGACAAGCAGTCCGTCAACCAGTCAATTAACCACTCAGTCAATCAGTCAGTCAATCAGCTGGTGAATTAGTCAGTCAGACAGTCAGCCAATTAGTTAGTCAATCTGTGAATCAATCGGTGAGTTAATCAATCTGTCAGTCAGTCAATCAGTCAATTAGTCAATCCGTCAGTCAATTAACCTATCAGTCAATTATCCAATCAGTCAGTCAATCATTTTATTAGCCTGTGAGTATGTCAATCAATCATCCAGTGAATCAGTTAGTCAATCAGTCTATCAGTCGTCAGTCAATCAGTCAGTCAATCTGTGGATTTTTGAGTCAATCAATCAGTCAATCCGTCAGCCAATTAACGTATCAGTCAATCATTCAATCAGTCAATCAGTCAGTCAGGAAGATTTCAATCAGCTTCGATCAGTCAATCAGTCACGTAGCAAACCAGTCAATCAGTGAATCAGAGCTCGGTCAGTTAGCAAGAGAGTCAATCACAATCACAGTCAATCAAAAAGTCAGACAGCCAGTCTTCAATCAACCAGTCCATGCGTTAATTAGTCAGCTAATTAGTCAGCAGTCACTCATCAAATTAGTCAATCACACTCAAATCAGTCCGACATTCGGGCAACGAGTCATTCAATCAATCACCCCCGTAAGTGATTCACCCTCACCAGGCTAGTAAAACATATCGATCGCACTTGTTAAGCTCATTTTGAATAAACACAGAGTATTGGCTGAGTTCGAAACATTTAGCTGGATCGAAGCTCGATTGAAATACTGCCCAGTGGGGCATTCGGCACTTGAATCAAACGGGGATTGCCAATAATATGGCCACTCTGGCCAATGAACAATAAAGAATACTCCTAAGCTCTTAAAGCTCATGAACCGACTGCGAATCGAAGCCAGCAATCCAAATGCAATGGCCCGCCATGGACGGCGATGGGGAAGGGGATGGGAGCATGGCACAGGCACAGGCCGAGTGCACTCAGAAACTTTTGCCATGTGCAACTGTTGGAAAGTAGTATGTGTATAGAACATTTGTACCAATGCTCCCATAAACTAAGCTCGCACAAAGCGCCAAACCCCTCCCCCTCCCTCTCTCCTCCTTCTCGACGACAAGCAACAGCAGAGGAAGAAGTAAAAAAAAAATAACAAGTTTCCATCTGCTGCTGGCAAACAGTAATGGAGCACTCGGCCAAAAACTCACATGTCGCTGACGCACTTCACGTCCAATTTGTCGGAGTTCCAAGAAATCTTTCCTATGAAGAGAACAACTGATTTCATTCACATAACTAAATCACAAAGCTCTAGTCTCGTCGACGGTCAACAAATTCAACTCTAACTGAGTCCAAAAGTCATGGAAATCTCGGACGATTAGTGGGAAATATTGAATTGATATAACTAAGTGCTGAGCTATATCCCAGGGCAGAGCTAAACGGACAGAGCCATAAAGAGTTTCAATTCTTGATTCTAATCAGCAGCCGAGCTCTAATGAACCAACTTTCCGTACGTCTGTCTGCCACATGTCTATTCGTTAGCCTTGAAACGGTCATAGACAACTCTTTATGGTATGAAAACGGTCAAGTTTAAAAAAAAATCTTTAGCTTTTGAAAGTCTAAATTTACATACAATTATACTTTCATTCTATTCAAATATACTTAAAGAGTTCCAAAAGTTCGTATAAGAAATCTTTTAAGTATACCTCTCTCATTTCCTCCGCAATTATACTTTAATTCTAAGTCCTAAGAGCTAGAACCACGATATTTGGTATAAGAAATCTCTTGAGTATGCCTCTCTCATTTCCTCTTCAAAGGCAATCGCATTTTTAAACGCCCTGAAATGGGGTACATACTGCAATATTCTTCTTTCCACAACTAAAGCGAATGTTTCTTAATGCAAGTTTCAATGCATAAAACAGTTATCTTTCATCTCACTCTTGATCTCTTGATCAAATTCGCACAATCCGATTCAATCGACCTCATATTCGAGTGTAGTCTATTATGCATGCGATTGACTTTATGGATATAAAAATGATTTAGGACCTCCTGCGTGGTCAATGATAAATCTCTGTAACATCTCGAGCTGACAACTCGAGTGGAGGAAATCAATTGCTTCATATGCTCTTGGTGGGAGCATATGAAAAGCGGTCCAATTCGCATGGTCCCGAGAGGGGTTTACCAAACCGAAAAAAAGCCCAGACCCTCAGCTCTTGAGGGAGGGGCTCTTGAGAGGGATGCGGACAGCACTTAAATGCTACATGGCAGAAACACAGTTCGAGTTCTCGTCCTCCCCGTCTGGGTCCCCGTCGTATTTATCTGCGAAAAACTTGCGCACGTTTGAGCTGCCAAAATGGCTTTCAAAAGTTTTTAATGCTCGACACAATAATTCATATAGAGTTCAAGGCTGGCACGCACCCCACGTGATTTGTGTGCCCACAGGGGCAGAGGGGCAGGGAGGGGCAGAGAAGGGGGGCTGGCAAAATCGTTGCCTACTCACAGTATGTGTCCGTTGTCAGACGATCAATGGTATCCTGCTTCAATTTGGAGTTCTTCTTGCCCATTGTGCGGCTGTTGTGGTGCTGCTGTTGCTGTTGCCTGGTGCCTGGTGTGTGCCCCTGGGAGATGAGTGCGCCCGCTCAGCCAGTTGGGTCAGCCAGTCGGGGGTCAGCCAAGTGGGCCGCCAGTTAATATTAACAGGTAATTGGACGGGGCGTGTCTTATCCCGATTTGCCAACGGTTAGATCTGAAAGGACACAAATGACAGAGAGATTAAAGATAGAGACGCACGGACATGTCAGCGGCTCTGCTGCTGCGCTGCTGCTGCTGCTGCTGCTGCTGCTGCCACAAGGCGCATTGTCACGGCGCAACGCTATCCATCATGCGCCACCGTCGCCGCAGTCCCAGGCTGCACCTGCCATGGCCGGAGAAACACCCAAACACTCACAGCCCCCCGAGCGTCAGGCGCGCTGATGAATAGCAAAAGCTACTTTGATATTTAAGCATGTCAGAGCCAGTTCTCTGTATGTGTGTGTGTGTGTGTGTGTGTGTGTGTGCAGCCCCGGCCAAAAACAAGAAGCTGCTGACTACGTCAACAGCCAGGGACATCTCACAATACCAGCGAATGCCAAAAGGAGCTGGCGTCACTCACTCACACACTCATTCACTCACTCACTCATTCATTCACTCACTCACTCAATCAGTCAGTCACTTTGTCAACTTGGTCTACTCTGCCGCTCAGCTATTCATAATTTTCTAACCAGGCAGCTTACAATATTATGCAATTTCTATGAAATCCCACGGAATATTACGGTAAATTTATATAGTAATTCTTGTCATTTAGTATGTATGTAGCTCTCTGTTAATTAATTTACTTATAGATTTCATTAGCGAGAGTCTGAGCAAAGAGCATCCATCTAGTTGACGGTTGGCGAAAAGTTTCTACTACGCTGCGGCTCCTGTGTTTGCTTCCTTTACCTTTGCGGTTTGAGCAGAACAAGGACAAGGACAATGCCGAGAGTGCTGCTGCTGCTGCTGGTATGGATGACGACGACAAGTTTTGCAATCAAGTTATGTAATTAAAATGTAAATAATTTCCCAAGCAAATTTCGTGCGCAAACTTTTTTAATTCCTTTTTATACAATTTGGATGAGCCTTCAATTGACTTTAAATTGGCTAGTGAAACGCTCTAGCTCTTCTCTGTCTGTCTCTCTTTCTCTCTACCACTACTTTCTCTCACTCTGTCTCGCTATCGCTCTTCGAGTTTCTGTCTCTGTATTCCTCTCACTACCTTTTTATCACCCATCTCTGTCCCTCTCTCTCTCACTTTCTCTCTCTGATTCTCTTATTCTATACGTTGCTATCACTGTTTCTCTCTGTTTCTGTACTTCTCCTTTCATCACTCCGCCATTCCACATCTTCCTCAGTGGCGCTCATTCGGTTTCACTATTTCCCTTTGCTTTGCATCTTTATCCTTCGTTCTCACTATATCTCTGTTTGACATCATTCCTATCAATATAGATGTCTCTACCTCTCTATCACTATCTATGCTCTCTTCATTTATGTGCCTCTCTCTCATTCTCTGTCATTGTCTATGTATTTATATCACTTATTTTCTCCTCTGTGGCCCTATCTCTCTCTCTCTCTCTCTCTCTATCTCTGTATGCGTGATTGTTCCTCTCTTTCTTTCTGTATAAGTCTGTCTGTCCCTGAAGTCTCTCAGCCCCTGTTTCTCGCTTTCTCTCTCTCGCTCTCTCTCTCTTTCTCCCTCTTTCTTTCTTACTCTCTCTCTCTCTCTGTCTTTCTCTCTCCCTTTCTCTCTATTTTTCTCTGTCTCTCTCTCTGTCTCATTCTCTCACACCCCCTCTCTCTATTTCTTTCAGTTTCTCTCTCTCTCTCTCTCTCATACTCCCTCTCTCTCTCTCTCTCTCATACTCCCTCTCTCTCTCTCTCTCTCTCTCTCTCTCTCTCTCTCTCTCTCTCTCATACTCCCCCTCTCTCTCTCTCTATTTCTGTCAGTCTCTCTGTCCATCTCCCATCTCTCTTTATCATCTCAACTATGTTCTTATATACAGCTTCTAAGACATTCTCTTTTATGCAAATGAAATCTAAATAATTTCCATATTACATATCGAAGAGAGCAACAGCAATTAGCAATTCGACAATGTAATTCACATCAGATTTACTTCTAACCCATTTAATGTATAAATTATTCAGCTCTTAATGTAGTAATTAAAATGTATACAAAATAATTTAAAGCCCTGCGCCTGCGATTCAACGATCATTAGAAATGTACGCTTAATGACCGTACAACCCAGGGCTACACACGCACACACGCACATACGTATGTACATGTATGTATACATGTTTACATGTGGGCACAAGTATATAAATATGTGTAGATGTGTGGAGAGTAGATGGAGATATGTATTTAGTCAGCCTAGAAATAGGCGCTTGCTCGGGTAGGTAAACAAAAAGGACAAATGAAGCAGAACCGAGACGAGCTGAGATGGACACGGACGGACGGACAGCGTTGTCTGCGCTGCAATTGCACTGGCTAACGAGCTGGCCAAGCATCGCTCGAGTCACATTGCTGGCGGAAGTTGTTTGTGCCAAAGGCTCAGACTCTGGCTCTGGCTCTGGCTCTGGGTCTGGCTCGGTTGGGTCTGTGTCGGTGTAAGGAAATTGAAAAGGAAAGAAAATTGAACATGCTTTAAGAGCTTTGGGGCAGCAGCTAGCCAAACTGCAGGTACAGGACTCTCAATTGGCCAACGGGTGGCTCAGCTCCACTCTGGACGACTCTCCCCTATCATTGAGAGGGTCGACATTACGCGATTTCCTGTTGGCTTTAAATGTATTTGAGCTTTTGGCGCTACGTGCGTCGAAAATTACACAGAATTGCCGCTGGCGTCGACATTTAATTGAATAATTGCCAAACGACTTGTAAACAAGTTAGAGAAGACTGGCCCAGAACTTTGCCCGACGAGCTCGTATGCCAATTTGTTTTGGCCAGAGCCAGCCAAGGCACAAACATTGGCTACCAGCCCAGGCAGCGCTGACGTAGTTGCTCAACAAATTGCCCACACTCACACACACACACACACACACTCACAACCTGTCTGAGGAACAGGCAGCGCTGCTTAACAAATAACTCGAATGCCAAGAGCCAGAGAGACAAAATCCTTGCAATCGGTTAACTATGCGGAATTCACACAATTCACAGTCTAGCGAAATGTTGCTGGCTTTGTATAATTAAATCAAATGGTGCGTATGGGAAGATGTACTACAACCGAGTTAAGTATATTTGGCTAATTAATGTGCTCGACTCAGGCTACTGCTGCCGAGCCCGTAAAGGACTTCATTAGGCCATTGAAAGACAGCAGGGAAATGGAGAGGCAAATCTATAAGCCATTGACTAGTAAATATATACATTTTATTGAGTGAAATAGAGTGTGTGTGAGAGAGAGGGAGAGAGAGAGAAAACTGCTGAGAAACCAACTTTTGGGTAATTAAATCATCCTTAAATGCACAGCTAACTGTAAAGAAGAAGCTCTATTGCCAATATTATGGAATGAATGAGTCAATAAAAGAGAATTACTCAAATCTAGAAGAAGAAGAAGATAGTACTTTATATCTATAATGCCATGGAATGTACAGAAGCAGAGTTATCACATCTCCATAAAGTCTTTGGCCTAGAGTTGTCCTGCCGAGTATATTTTCCCAGATTCTATGCAACTGCATCTTAGCATAGAACTTCCTGATTTAAAACATTCTCAGTTGGGATATGGTAATATCTTATGATTCGAGGGTATCAATGGGTATATTAGTGTATTAAATTTGAAGAGGGTTGTTTCCATTCTGATAAAGAGGTATATATGTATATATGAACGGACGGATATATGAATAGACTGACATACAGACCGAAAAACTGATAGACCGACAGCCGGATAGATGGATAAACGGACAGATAGATGGATGGACGGACGGATAGATGGATGGATAAACGGACGGATAGCTGGATAAACGGACGGATAGGTGGATAAACGGGCGGATAAATGGATAAACGGACGGATAGGTGGATAAACGGAAGGATAACTGGACGGACGGACGGATATATGGATGGACGAGATGGACAAGCGGACGGACGAGCAGACGAAAGGACGGATGACGAAATGAGCAGAAGGACGGACGGATAAATGAGTTGACAAATAAATAGATAGACGGATAAATTGGATAGAGAGGCAGTTGGATAGCTGAATGGACCGACGTATGGATGTATATACGTAGAAGTGGATAAATAGATAGACAAACGCACATGGATAAGCATGCCGATGACAGAAAAACGTGCAGAAGTACGGAGAACTAGGGACGAAGGAAGAACGAAACCAAAGTAATCCCTCTCTCTCTCGCTCTCTCTCTCGCTCCCTAGAAATTGTTGCTCAAACATGACCTAAGAACTTCAGCCATTGCAACGAGCAAATGGTGTTTAAATAGCTGTGCAAAGGAAATGTGAGATGCATTTAGATGGAATGCCAAACAGACGGACCCAGCAGAGTCGCCTGTTAATGCTCACTATCCACACATAATATATACATATATACATATACCAAACGACTTCTTCCGGCTATTCCATACTCTAATATAATACTTTTATATTTCGAGCTTCCTTTTATAATGAATTTTGAATTCATTTTCCTAAACTGCCATTTTCATTAGCCTAAAGCTTCGAGCTTAACTGTTTACCCCACATGCCGCCATTAGTGCGAATCTCTGAGCCGTATCCCAGCCCGTTCCACGGCTTCTTTCAATGGAATTCCGCAGCCGAAAACTATTCGCATGGCACATGCTGGCCCGCTCCATGGCTCCAGCTAATTGCCATATTCAGGCAGCCCAGTGCCACGCCCCTGTCCCGCGCCTAATTTAGGTGTGTATTGTGTGTGCCCGGTTTTTGTAGTTTTCGGGTCTGCCCAAAGGTCGTGGGTGCCGTTGGGACTTGGCCAAATGCTATGCAGAAAAGCCAAAGGCCGCATACGGCTGGCTTTTTGTGCAATTTTTCCTCTTAAGCTGTGATTGCAGTCTTCAGGTTCAATTTTCCTTTTTTTTTCTATTCTTTTCTACTTCTATTTTCTTTTTTCCTTTTTTTTTTTGCAATTTCTTGTTCAGCGTTCGCTGAGAAATGTCTTGCAATGCAAATTGCAAATTCCTATCCTGACTATGTCTGTCTGTCATTCAAAGTGAGTGTGTATG